CCCTAGTCTTCCTGTCGGCTCTCTTTGGCCCCAGGAGTGGCAGGAGCCTCCAGCCTTGTGTGGAGCCAGACATGTCTCCCTCGCCTCATGGGAGCATGGCTTAGCAGGGGCCTTCCTTCCGGTGTCCCCTTTTCCAACCCTGTTTCCGGCCCCAGGCCTTTGCACCTCCCATTCTCAAAGATCTTGTGGCTTCAGGGAAATAAAAAAGCAGCTCTTCTAAAATGTGGCTGACATTTTTTTTTTTTTTTTGGTCTTTATTTGGAATCATATGAACCTTAAGGGCACATTTTCAAAAACCAGTCAAGTAGCAGGCAAGACATTGGGATAAAAAAGACAAAAACAAACCCCCCAAAACCTCAGTGATAATTAGCAATGCTGCCTTAGGAGCAAATTTTCTAAAACTAAAAATATTCCTCCAAAGCGTCCCATTTTCCCTGCTCTTTTTTTTTTTTTTTTTTTTCCCCCACCCTAGGAAGTCTGGCTGACTCATCAACTCATTTCAGAGTGGTTTTCACTGGTGGTGCCAGGGTTGTGTTCACCATCTGAGTACAGTAGGAAGCACAATGGTTGCATTTCTTTAATTGAAACATCTATTGTGTGAGTGTCTCTATTCCCCTTTCACTGGGTGATGTCCAGAAAGAGAGTGTGCTGGAATGTGCAAAGGGTAGGCGACAGCATGAAGCTGATTTTGCTTTTTCATTTTTGACACAGTCACACAAAATAAGAAAGGGCTTGCTCTGCAGAAGAATTGTCTTTTGTCTCTGTCTCTAGGGCTTTGTCAAGGCTCATCTTTTCTATCTTCCAACCTGGCACGGGTCCCCTGGAGCCACCTGAGAGAGTGACAGGCTCAGTGCAGGCGGCACCTTTAAAACCTTGACGATTAGCATTAGGCAGTGCCGACACTTAGAAGCATGCCTCAACCATGTGCCCCACTGTGGACATTCTTATGTTGTTATGCGGCCTTGGACCCGGAAGTTGTGCTAGCTGACAGATTTATTTTCTTAAAGGCAGGTTGGGAGAGGCTGTAGGGCAGCAAGAAGGTTTGCTTGTCTTTCTCTGCAGACCTCCTAAACAGCTTCATCACCAAAGTCAAGGCCAGAACCCATCCCTGCAAAGATTGATCTTTTGAGCGGTAAACGTGTTCTTCTTTTTGTTTTCTATAGAAATCTGACTATGAATTTTGACTTGATACTAAATTGTTTTTGTCATGCTGAAAGATTTCAGGTGCTGTTTGGATTTTTTTTTTTTTTCTTTTTCCTGGTGAGACCTTCCCTGCTGCCTCAAATCGCACTTACTATCTGCCTCATTAATGATGTGGCAGTTGTGAAGGTCGGTGAATTTTATTTTAAAAAGAAATGACTGCCTGCACAGGTCACGTTCTAGATGGCTGACTTTACAAACTTTAGCTAATTACCTCTTGTGTAAACGTTTCCTATTTATGAGGTTTGCTCCCAGACTAGGATCTTAAATAACCAATCTATATGAGACAAGCGTGACCATCTGCCTTGACCTGGGTGTGATCAGTCACATTTCAAACACAATAGCATGTGTGTGAATTGCAGCCACAGAAGGGTCCTTGTTAGGCCCAGGCTGCTGCAGTCCATGACAGAGATGCCCTAAGGGGTGTGTGTAATAGGCTCACTGAGGCTTGGGCGCAACCCCCCCCATTTCCCCATCTCCCTACCCACCCACTCTGTAGCATATGAGGGGATCTGGTGCTTTGGCTTTCAGCCACGTGCTTGGGAGGGGCTGATTTGGCCCATCTGGCTAGTTGGGCATCTCCTTTCTTCCCCCTCATTCTGAGTTTGGCCAAAAAGTGTCAAGTTGGCTGCAAATATTTTGAACTCCTACGAAGACCATATGGTCTTTTGGATTCAGTTTTCAACATTTTTATCAGTCAGTACTTACTGAGCTCTTGCAGTCCTATTACTCAGTGCCATCACGGTAGCTACCCTGAGCGTCACAGAGAAGGGTGTCCCTGGACCATGAACACACCTTTGACATCCCCATCTCTCTCTCTTCTCTGGCTCTTACCTCTTTCTGGAATACCTTGATGTCTAGCCCGTTTTTCAAGATCAACTCAGATGTTACCACTTGATAAAGCCTCTGCCCACTCGGATAATTTCCCTCTTTCTTTGAACCTGTATTATGTCCCTCTGATCTTTGCTACTCACTTATTCCTTCATTCATTCTTTCAAAAAAAGATCTACTGATGCCTACTATGTGCCAGATTTCGGATATATCAGTGAACTAAACCACGGAGATGTCTCCCTGCCCTTATGGAGCTTACCTTGTAGCTGGGGGAGATGACATAATGAACAGCTTATGCAGTACATGAGTCAATTATACAGTATTTTGGAGAGGGATCAATGGAATGGAATGTGAAAAAGAAAGCAGGATCAGGTTGATCAGATGTACAAGGTGGGAGGAAGGGGAAGATGCAGTATATGTTGGGTGCCATAGACGATATAGCCTCGGTGACAGCTACTGAGGTCGGCCTGGTGGCCATGGTAGTTTGCATGTGTACCTTCTCCTTCTTTCCCAACTGGAAGGATAGGAATTGGGCATCCTTACTGACTTATCTGCCAGTAGCACTTAGCACAAAATGCCTTGTGTGTGGTTAGTGCTCTGTAAATGGTGAAATGGAAATGAATTGTGTAAAAACGAATTTGAAGACAAATAAGGAAATGCATTCTATTTTTTTAAAAGATTTTATTTATTTGTTTATTTGAGAGAGAGAGAGAGAGAGAGTGTGTGTGTGTGTGTGCCTGAGGGGCAGGGGAAGGACCAGAAGGGGAGGGAGAGGGAGGGGGAAAGAACCTCAAGCAGACTCCCTGCTGAGCATGGTGCCCAACGTGGGGCTCAGTCTCAGGACCCTGAGATCACAAACTGAACCGAAAGCAAGAGTCGGACGCTGAACCGGCGGAGCCACCCAGGCACCCCAGATAAACCCATTCTTATTTTTACTTTTTTCCTTCCCTTAAAAAAAATCCTTTATGATAAATCTATACTTAAGAATCTTAAGGGGCGCCTGGGTGGCTCCGTCGGTTAAGCGTCTAACTTTGGCTCAGGCATGATCTCAGGGTCCTGGGATCGAGCCCCTTGTCAAGCTCCCCACTCAGCGGAGAGCCTGCTTCTCCCTCTCCGATTGCCCCTCCCCCTGCTTGTGCGTGAGCTCTCTCAAACAAATAAATAAAATCTTTAAAAAAAAATCTTAAATTCCGTCCATATTTCCTCATTATTTTCAAGACAGAATTTGTCACTGGAGCTCAGTGTGCACAGGGGTTTTGGAAAATGTTGGTCAAATGCCTGAACTGCTTTTTACATGAAAAAACACAATTATAAGATATAAATTTCAATTACAAATTAGAAGAGCACAGAGGACCATAGTTTGCTGCTTTGGCTAGGTTTTTGCTCTAACAGAATCATTTTTCAAAGTAAACAACTTTTGGGAACTGAATAGGGGAAAACATTTCAAGAGTGTATTTTATTATCAGTTTGCCATGAAAAACTCAAGTCTCTTGACAGCCTCTGGATTTAATTAGCTGTAAGTTTACCAATATTTATCAAGTGAAATAACATTATCCCAATGCAGAGCGACACCCCACAGGGATTATGAGGATACGTGTGTCACCTGATCAATGAGTGTGCATGCCACACTCGTTTCAGCTCTTACCTGAGGTTTAGAGATTATGGAAAATCAATGCAGAATAACTTTCTGGGCTGCATTCAGTCGATATAACTGGGTCTTGAATCAGAAAAAGATCCAAGGCCCCAGTTGAGCCAAGGCTTTTCAGTGCCCAATTTAAAATGTAAACGGTTGCTGCTGCTGATAAAATTCTCCCCCGAGAGCCAAAGAGCTCTGTGTAATTTAGAGTCCTGAATTCCATGCTGCATCCACCACACGGAGACTGATAAGAGTGCCAGAGTCAGGAGGCTCCTTACGGATAACCTAGCTTAGTGGTTTTCCAGTTTCTCCAAGGGAGCTCTCCCATGGGCCCAATGTGGGGAGGCAGAGGGATGAACCAGCAGGCCAGGCTCTGAGCTCGTCCCATGCCCCATCTTCCATTTGCCTCAACACACCTTGACCACTTTTATTGTCTTCACACTTCCATGTAAGAAGTCGTGTGAAGGCAGGCTTCTGAGGCGAAAAATCGTTTGATCCGGAGTAGCTCACTTGTTTTCCAGGTACAGACACAGCGGCCTGGAGAAGGTTGTATACAACACCAAGGGGTATGTCTTGCAGGCCTGACAACAGTTAGAGACATGCCCTTTCAGGACAGTCTCCTTGTGTGTCCACCGCACAGGCTTAGTGTGTGAGTCAAATGAGACAGACAGGGAAGCACAGTGTATAAGAGAGCATTTAATGCATTCATTAAATGTTAAATATTATCATCATGTTCCCTTTTCTACCACTAGAGCAATTGTGGAGGTTGTCAAACTGGGTTCCAGGGAGCTCTTGGGATCATTGCCAGGGGCATAAGAACCCCCGTTCTTCAGGCAACACATTTTCCCTTTAATCCACTTTCTATGTTAGGCCTCCAGGTAAAGTTTCTTCTATAGTAGGGCTCTATAACTTTAAAGAAGTTTGAAAACCACTGATCCAGAAGGATTTTTTTTGCCTCTGAGAATAAATAGCTATGTATGTTTGGAACGCTGGTGCCCTCTGTGCCTACTGAAATGACCAGACAGAATATTTGGGGCAGAGGTTGGCTGAATACCTGGTTTGAGAAGGTGACTGCTGGACCCGTGAGCACTGTGGATAAACTGGGCTTGAGGCAGATCTGACACCTGATCGACAAAACTGCCCCTCGCCAGTAGACACCTCTGAGCTGCATTGAGACTTGGGGTGCTTTTTAAGTCTGGTGTTCCTGAGGCCTTTCATTTTTTTTTTTTGGCTCTGTTTGTAACTCCTGGGGTGGTTCAGTGTAAGTACCAGGGTGGAAACTAAGTGGATCCTGGCAGGTGATGGTCTTTTCTTTCCTGTCTTCGTTTTTTAGTGCACTTACATTTCAATCGACCAAGTCCCCAGGACCCATGCCATTGTGATAAGCAGGCCTGCCTGGCTTTGGGGGGCAGAAATGGGAGCCAACGAGCACGGAGTGTGCATAGCCAATGAAGCCATGAATGCCAGAGAACCAGCCGCGGAGACGGAAGCCTTACTGGGGATGGATCTGGTCAGGTACGAGGTGGTTCTTTGGAACAACTGCTCACAACAGGCGGGGAATGGGGACAGGATTTATGTTTCTCCAAACCTCATATTTTGTAACATAAGCCTCCCAAAGAAGACGTGTGCCTTTTGATATGAAGTTCAAGGTGATAGAGAAAAAAAAGAGAGAGTAGATTACAATGGAATATTATTAAAGCAATAAAAATGAACCAAGTGCTACATGCTTGAATTTTTGAAAACATTATACTAAGTGAAAGAAGCCAGATGCAAAAGGTCACATAGTGTATGATTGCATTTACATGAAATGTCCAGAAGAGGCGAGTTCATAGTAGTAGAAAGTCGATTAGTGGTTGCCTGGGGTTGGGGTTGGGAAAATGGGGAGTGATTCCTAATGGATATGGGGCTTCTTTGTGGGATGTTGAAAATGTCCCAAATTTAGATTGCAGTGATAGCTGCGCAACTTTGCGAATATACTAAAAATCACTGAACTGTCTGTTTTAAGTGGGTGAAGTTTATGGTTTGAAATACATCTAAAATACAGGAAAGAAGAAAGGAGTCATATAAAATACATAAGATATAAAGGAAAAAAGAAGAGACATATGTCCCTCCTGTCCCCCCTTCGTTTCCGTCGTCTGTTTCCCTTTCCTTGCTCCGCATTACAGTGGGAGCGGATGTGTAGGCTTGGTGGGTTGGGGATCTTTGCTTGTTTTCTGTTGCGTCACAAGCTTCAAGAGTTGTGTGCCTGGCCTGTGCTGGCTGATCAATGACTGGGTTTGGACTGAATGACCAAAGGAGAGGGTGGGCTGGAGTGAAATGACATTCTGAAACGACTTTCTTTTTTCTGGGATCGTGAAATGCAATAGAATCATGACTGAGTTGAAAAAATATTGGGCTGGGAGCCAGGGGCCTTGGTTTTCAGTGTGAATACATCAAGATGTAACACATCTCTGGCCCACAGTCTCTACATTTGTTTGAAGGGAGGCCTTAGATTGGATGACCTCTAAAGAACCTCCCAAAGCCAACATTCTATGCAAAGGAGTAGAGGTTTTGACCCTTTGTAGGCTGTGTAGGGAGGAAGTGCACATTTATGCTGAGACCTCTGTGGTCTGTAGCTTCCACCAACCGATGGACAGGTCTGTTAACCTTTCGGGAAAGGGCCCAGTGAGCTTGACATACCTGTGTGAGAGTCATGGGCCGCAAATAGGGATTCTTCCAAGGATTTACCATGAAACAAGAATTTGAATTTGGGAGCAGCTAACTCCAAGACGCAGAAAAACCTGGACCAAGCACACACTTTTGAAGGATCTGAATTGTACTGAAGGTAGATGTCAGAGTGAGACTCTAACCTTGGCCCAGGAAATTTCATCCCTTTGCCTGCCCTGGTCATGCCCATAATGAGGTGAAGCAGCCAGTGTGGAAGTAGGCACGAGGGCCAGAAAGATGCTGTCCTGGTTTTAAATCGCATTAATCTGCCCCATCTGAGAGGCCAGACCACCGTGAAAGGCTTTGGAACAGACGTCTTGACATCGGGTGACTTGTGGCCCTAGACTGCTGTGGCCCTAGCACCTCTTTCCCCCATCGGGGCCGGACAGCATATAACCCCACTGCTGTTCACAGTCTGTGGAGCAGGCTGTCCTGTCCTTGCCCCATGGCACCGAGGCGAGGTGGGCGGGGCAGGGTGGACAAAGGAGTATCGTTTCCCGTGGTCCCAGCACAGGGCGTAGGAGAGTGACATCAGAGTCGTGTCTGTGGATGAGTGTCGAGGTCCCGCTGCAGGTGCTGTGCACGGCGGGCACAGAAGTCAGCGTGGGAGGGCAAGTGCATGTGCTGGGCGTCTCAGTGTGGAACGCAGCAGGCGGAACAGCGGGACAGGGAGCTAGACACCGCACAAAAGAAGTCACAGCTTCCAAAGGCGGCGTGCCCCTGGCTAGGTATCACATGCTCCTAGCACATGTTTGCATGGCCAGATTGGAGCCCTACAGAAGCCCTGGGGACAGGCTTCTGCTTGGAATGCATGCATGGGGCAATGTGACCAGAGGCTCCCAGGGACCTGTGGAGGGAGGAAGGGGCCCTCCTGGGGGCACAGCTTGGGCAGACCTATAGAGGTGCTCATAGCACACTTATCTGCTCTGGATATTCAAGATCAGATGAGTGCTTGCTTCTGCTATTCCTCTTTGGAGAAGATGACACTGACCAACAGAAAAGTCTACTTAATCCGATCTTCTAGTGAGTTTATTTTTTATCACTCTCCTAAGGTCTTAGGGTTCAGCTTTCCAAATCAGTGGTTTGTCACCAAGTCTTCCTAAATAAACTAAAATTGAGAAATGCCCAATGAATTCATATATAATGATCTGACTATGAAAATAAGCCTGTTATAAGAATACGTCTGTAGCATAATCTTTTCCTCTCCCTGGCAGCACGGGGAAAGTTTCTTCAAAAAGAATCAAGCGGGTGAATTTTAGTAACGATTGGTCTGTTGTAAATTCACCAAGAACTGGCTGACATGACCATCTTAGCAGGCACCACTGCCTCTGCTCCGAAGTTCTTGTGCTCCTGCCCCCAGAATTACAATGTGGAGGAAGAGATGGATACATGGACATGTACTAAGCACATATTATGTGCCACCCTCTTTCGAATCAGCCCCAGAGGGACGTACTGCCTTTTTGACTTGACAAATGAAAAAATCAGGTTTCAGAAAGGTTAGGTTACCAAAGGTCATGCTGCCAGTGGGTGGCACAACCAGAATTGGAAGCTGGCTCCCTCTCTCTCTCTGAGTCACTGTTTTTCTGCCAGAGGGGGCAGCCTCTCAAGCATACCCACCACCTACGTGGTCCTGGAGAGTTGTGCTTATATTTTCACGTTCATTATCTCATAAACCTGTCCTCAGAGCAACCTGATGATGTAGGTACTTATAGGTGACATAAATTTGAGTTCAAATATAGTATGCAACTTGCCCAGAGTCGACCAGAGGGCAGTATCTGTGCCCTCTTTAGGGGGCCAACTAATTGGAAGGCTGGGAGGAGATTGCTGTGTCACTTCAGAAGAAGGATGTACTTTTTGATAAGTGAAGCTGTAAGCCACAGCAGTAGAGGGAGGCTGATAGGTCGGAGGAGAGATATGTTGAAAAGCACGGATGTCCCAACCAGGCACCCATTCCTGGTGAGATCTCTGCGTAAATTATATGCACCGAGGACAGAGGCTGGCTATGGAACACTTTTATTACCAACCCACATACCTGGTGTATGAAGATTTCCTTTTGCCCGGAGGCAGGAGGGAGGATAAGCCCCAGAAAGGGGGTCTTGATAAGGCTGGAGCTGAGCTGGCCAGTGCCAAGGGAGCCAGAGTTAGAAAAGGAACAGAGAGAGAGGGCTGAGCTGCCCTTCAGGAGGGAGAAGCCGCTGGGTTCCTGACTCTTCCGTCTGTGTGGGAGGGAGGTGCCCAAAGACAGAAAACACTCCCATGATTTTGAGCCGAACGTGGGAGAGAGATATTCTGCGTTCAAGTGGCGTGCATCTGTGTCTCGGCCCGCGGACCGAACGTGTGATGCGTGTCGGCGTGCTTCCTCCCTCGGCTTCGTCCCAGCCTTTGGTTGCTGTGGCAAAAACCACATGGTAGGAAGGGACTGAGGTATACCTCTGGTTTTCTTGCTCCAGGCTTGGTTTAGAAAGAGGAGCGACAGCTAAAGAAGCCTTAGATGTCATCGTTGCCTTGTTGCAAGAACACGGGCAAGGTGGGAATTACTATGAAGACGCAGACTCCTGCCACAGCTTCCAAAGTGCGTATCTGATCGTGGATCGTGAGGAGGCCTGGGTGCTGGAGACCGTGGGGAAGTACTGGGCGGCCGAGCAGATCACAGGTGAGCCCGCGTGGGTGGGGCGGCCGAGCAGATCACAGGTGAGCCCGCGT